ATCTGGTTTTGATTAGATCAATACCCCTTTCTCTCTCCCTACCTCCCCCCTTCCTTTTCTTTCCAGAAAGGAGGCTCAGATGAGCCCCTGCTGACTTGAGAGAGAGAGAGAGAGACCACGCTGATCGCTGACAGGAGCTGGGGGAAGAGAACAATTCCCGAACTCCGTGCGCAGAGCTCCCTCGCCATGAGCAGTGCTGTGCTGGTGACTCGCCTCCCAGACCCCAGCAGCAGCTTCCACGAGGATGCCCCCCGGCCCCCCGTTCCGGGGGAAGAAGGGGAGACCCCACCGTGCCAGCCCGGGGTGGGAAAGGGCCAGGTCACCAAACCCATGCCTGTCTCCTCCAACGCCAGGCGGAACGAGGGTGGGCTGGGAGAGCCTGAGGGGCGGGCATCCCCGGACTCCCCTCTGACCAGGTGGACCAAGTCTTTGCACTATTTGTTGGGCGATCAAGACGGTGCTTATCTCTTCCGCACTTTCCTGGAGAGGGACAAATGCGTGGATACCTTGGACTTCTGGTTTGCCTGCAATGGGTTCAGGCAGATGAACCTGAAGGATACCAAAACTTTACGAGTAGCCAAAGCGATCTACAAAAGGTACATCGAGAACAACAGCATCGTCTCCAAGCAGCTGAAGCCTGCCACCAAGACCTACATTAGAGATGGCATCAGGAAGCAGCAGATTGACTCCATCATGTTCGACCAGGCCCAGACTGAGATCCAGTCGGTGATGGAGGAAAATGCCTACCAGATGTTTTTGACTTCTGATATATACCTCGAATATGTGAGGAGTGGGGGAGAAAACACAGCTTACATGAGTAACGGGGGCCTGGGGAGTCTAAAGGTCGTGTGTGGCTACCTCCCCACCTTGAATGAGGAAGAGGAGTGGGCTTGTGCCGACTTCAAGTGCAAACTGTCACCCACCGTGGTGGGCTTGTCCAGCAAAACCCTGAGGGCTACAGCCAACGCGAGGTCCACGGAGACCGTTGAAAATGGATACAGGTAAGAGCTGGGCCGGGGAGGGCACCGGGGCTGGAGGAGGGCATGGACTTTGCAGATGTTTGGAGTTAAGTGGGGTGGATGGTTGGATGGATGTGCCGCTGAGGCCGACAAAGGTCTGTTGAGAGCTAGGACCGCTGGCCACGAACCCTTTGATCTTGGCTTTTCGTTATTTAAAGTGGGGAAGAGTGTGCTCCCACAGCTGCATACCTGCAGTCTTCCAGGGCTAACTTCAAACAGGGGCAAGCAGTGTTCATTAATGCGGGTTACTTATTATCCTGGGCCAGTCTTAGAAGGGAGAGAGAGAAAGAGGGAGAGAGGGAGAGGACAGCAGCTTTTGATGCCTCTGAGTCACCAAATACACTAAACACCACTTTTGGAAGGGGTCACTCACCACTAATCAGTAGAGAGTGGAATTAATGTGGTTGGGGAGGCAGCTGGGTCGTGGAGGCCCGGGAAATAGCGTGTGTACCCATCGGACATGGGGGTAAGTGGGGTCTTTGGAACTTTTCTGTTAAGATAAGAGCCAGCAGTTGGCTTAACAACTCTGGCTGTGGTTCTCTTTGGAGAATTAGGTATGTACCCGCCAGGAAACCTATCCTAACTAGGCAAGGTCCTGTGTCTTCCCTGAATAAAAGGACCCTTAGCTTTGGAGCCCGCTGGCATAGGAATCTAGGTTTTAAATGCTTGCAGCCCAAGGGTCAGACCTCAGCTGATCGTTGTGTTGCTTGGTGCTGGCGGAGAAGAGTCTTGGGCGGAGAGGACGGGGCCCTGGAGTACTGTCCCTTTTAGAGGCTTCAAAGATCAACAGCCCTTTACAGAAGGAGAATGGCCAAGTCTTAAGATTCTTGACCTTTGCCAGCAACTTCAGACCTCCCGTTAGAATGAGTCTTTCTGTGTCTCTCCCTCTCTCCCCTTCCAGCTCTCCAGAACGAGCCTTTTTCTTTGAGGTCGTTGCCCTTGGCGTGCCGTGGAAGGGGCGGTGGGCACTCGGTAGCTACCTGAATGGTTTATCTTGCTCTCCGTTGTGTATTTCTTCGTGTGTTTGGAACCGGGGATGCGATCTGGTGGCTGCCTCCGTGGAGATGGCCCTCTCCCTGTAGAGAGGGGCCTTCAGTGTCAAAAGCGATAGTACGAGGGGGCAGGATAGTGATGGCCGAGCCTAGAAGCAGTGACTTAGGGGGTGGCCAAGAGCTTTTTGACTTTCCATTGGGAGCGAAGAGCTTGTTCTCCAGCCACCAGAGGGCGCTCCTACAGCCTTGAGAGCGAGTTTACTCACACTCAGACATCTGGTCTACACCTAAGTAGCTCTGGATTGGCTTCTGAAACGAAGCATGGGATCACGTGAAAGGAGTTGTTTCAGCGTCTTTAAGCTTATGGTTTCAGGTTGTTTGAAGGGAAGATACTAGGTCTGGCGCCTGTGGCTGGGCAGTCACTGGGCACCTGTTACTGCCCCGTTCCGTTAGGCGGACATTCTGGTAAATCTCTGCTGGCCTCCTTGCCCTCCAGTTTGGCAGCTGAAGCTGAGACTACTTAAGCCCTGTGGTAAGGCTGCTTCTCCAGGGGCTTTCCAACAGTGGAGCTTCTGTGTCTGCCCGAGTCAGGACCCAGAGTGCCCCCTTTGTAAACTTCACCTGGTTTGGTGGCTTGGGACTTCTCACCCTAAGAAAATGCTCCCAAGCAGGACCCTTCGTGACCCCTCCCCTTTGTGGGTGGGCAGTAGAGACCCAGCCTCGCTGTGCCCCTCCCCTTTCCAGAGCCCTCCAGTGGGATATCACCAGGATTAAACTTTCTGGAGATTACTCTTATGAAGCTTTTTAGATCCCCAGGGTTGCCAGGGCTTGCCTTCTTGGTTGTGACCCCCTGGCATCGTTGATCTATAGATGACACCTTTTCATCCGCCCCTGGAGTTTCCAGGCTCTATTTGTGTGTGCTTTCTCCCAGCGTTGGGTTGAAATGAAGTATTTTACCTGGACTACGTGAAGCCCATATGTCTCAACCGGGCATCGTCACAGAGAACTGAAGAGCCATCCGATTTCATTTTCACATACGAGATATTCAGGCGTGCCTGTGACGTATGGGGCGGTGTCCCAAATTCTTCCAAGGCCTGGGTCCCAGCCCTGTCCACTGCCTGCTTACCTGGGCTGAAGTCTTATGAACCCCATGTGTCCTTCTGTGCAGTGACTGGCACCATCCGTCCTGTTCATGTCCTAGGTTGCTCTTATGGGATCAAAACAATAGACCCGGGAGCCCTTTGTAAAGGGAAACGTTCTGAATAGTCGTAAAGCATTAGAACTAGTATAATTTAATCCCGATGATGAGTACATGTGTGAGAAGGGCAACCAGGTTAGGATGTCCCTTTCAGAGAGTGAGTCCCGGCCTCCAGCCCGCAGTCACTGTCAAGTTTTAGAGTGCCCCCCCCCCCTTCCCGGGCCTCAGCTTCCTCTACCTGTTGAGCTTAAGTCTGTCTTTTCAGCCCGTTACTGGGATGGGGGATCCTTTCCCGCTCTTCCAGGTCTGCGCCTCCTTGCAGTGCGCTCACTCATCGAGCGAGGTACGGGGCTTCGGGGATGGGCTTCATAAGTTAGTAACGTGAATGAAACAGAGACCGGGAGTCCTGCTGAGGGTCCCCATCAGCTGTTGAGGAGCAGCCCCGGCAGCTGGGTGCCTTCCAAGCCCCGCGTTCTCCTTGGGCGCTCAGAGGAGCCTCATTTGTAACGACTTGTTTGTGTCCTTACTGATCTGGTGTCAGGTTTAATATAAATAGTTGGAACGGAAGAGCAGGAATTATCCTCGGAGGGAAGGACTCTGGTTTGTGGGTGCTTGAGTGGGATGCCTGGGCTTTTGATGGTCTCTATAAATAACTTAGAGCAAGAGTGACCCGTTGGTAGAGCACGTGTAAAACCCCAGCACACAGACATATCCGCAGAACGCTGAGGTGTGTGTGTGTGTGTGTGTGTGTGTGTGTGTGTGTCTGTGTGTGTGTGTGTGTGTGTGTGTCTGTGTGTGTGTGTGTGTGTGTGTGTGTGTGTGTGTGTGGAGGGGCTGTGGGATTAGGAGCTCAGCCCAGCATTTAACCCCCAGGAAGGAGGACAGTGCAGGCTCTGGGGTGCTCCCCTGTGCCCTTCCCAGTCTGCCCTGGCTTGATTTTCATCCTCTGGTGCCTGGAGGCTCTCCTCCGACCTCCCTTGAGATAAGTCGGGCCAGCAGATGGCCCTCTGCACAGCTCCAAAGTGCTTCCTGTTCTCTGAAAGAACTCACCCGATGAGGCCTGTAGGCATCAGCAGCCGCAATTATCAGAAACTGATGCCATAGGAAGATAAGCTGGAGGCGGGCCCCCAGTTAGAGGGCCAGGCCTCTGATGGAGGCAGTGTGCGAGACTCACTGGTGGTTGCCTATCTAATGGCTCTGGCTGGCTCAGTGCCACTTGAGGTGCCAGACCCTCCCTGAACGCCCCTTGATCTTGCCTTAGAAAATGCTTCTTGAAGAGGGTTGCCTTTGGGCAGTAACTGTAAGTACACTGTCCTAGGGCACAGCTTTTAGAAACAAATACTTGTTAGTGCGTGTTTTGGTGGGGGGGGGGGGGGGGGGGATCGGAGGTAGGTCAGGTCTGTTGTGCACTGGTGTGCTGGGCGGGGCACAGCACCTTCATGGAGATAAAGAGATAAGAATAAGCTGGGGAGGAAGCATACCGTTGACTCAGTCAGTTGGCGTCGACTTCCGCTCAGGTCATGATCTCACAGTCTGCGACCCGCATCCCGGGCTCTGTGCTGATGGCTCAGGCCTGGAGCCTGCTCCCGATTCTGTGTCTCCCCTCTCTCTCTGCCTTCCTGCTCATGCTGTGTCTCTCTCTGTCTCAAAAATAATTTAAAAAAACATTAAGAAAAAAAATTAAAAAAAAAAAAAAAAAAAGAATAAGCTGGGGAGAAAAGGCCAGCAGTTTCCCTCTCTATAAGGTCCCAGGACTTGTGCTCCCTGACAGCTGCTGGGGTTCAAATGGACACCGCCAGTCTTGAGGAGTCTGCCACATAGGCCCCCACTCTGTAGGAATTTAAAATCCTTGGCTAACTGTGGGAGCACCAGAGAGGAATAAAGCATCTGGGTACAATTACTGTAGCGTGGTTGAGTTTCTTCCTGTTTTTTAAAGATAACGAGAAAAGAGCTCTAATCGTGTTGTAAAATTATGTGGCAATTCAGGCAGAGTTCTGGGTTCTTAAAAATGGAGTTTCCGTCTCTCTCTCCTCACAACCCGGCCTTCCTCTGCTTGCCCTCCTCTGTGTCACGATCGTAGAGCTTAAATGCTGGTACTAAGTGAGCTGAGTGGTGTATTCTGTTCTTAAGTACGGGTCACACAGGAGCCCTCTGTTTTGGAAGTGGCTGGGAGGGCCGAGTTTCTTTGGGGATCCATGTGTTTTGTGATCCCACTCTGGTGGCTTGAGCCGTGCGCACACCGGACCAGGTCTGCTGTCTTCTTAGTGTCCGAGGAGGAGTTTCTAGTGAGTTCTTTTCCCCGTGCAGGGTTGAATTCAAGGACCTTGTCAGTCGTTGATACCACAGAGATGGCAGCACTGGAGGTAGAGAGGGTCGGATGCTCTTTAAGTATCTGGACTCTCCTGATCTTCATACTGATGTCTCTTAGACTAAAACTTTCCAACCACCCACAGGGCCGGTCCCAGGTCTTTTAAGGAGGTTCAACAAAGTCTAGGCATGCCACCACGCTCCTGCCCCCCATACTATTTTCCAGAAGACGATCCGATCCTTGCCCTCATAGACACAGTCTGGTTACAGGACAGGCATCAGCGTGCAAACACACCGGCCAGCGTGGTTAAAGTCACCATCAAATGCGGCTGTTGCACCATCGCTAGCCAACTGGTGAATTAAAAAAAATAAAATTGAAAAAAGGAAAAGTCACCACAAACCCTGCAGGAAATTGCGGCAGCTCTGTTTTTCGTTGGCAGTTGGGTCTTTGGTGGAACTACCATCTCCCAAATCGCAGCTCTATG